CAATTGGGGACAGAAATCTGTCTTACACTACAGCAAAATAAGAGGGAAAGGTGATAAGAGAAGGATGATAGAAGGGAGAACAGATTGGGGGAGGGGGTAATCAGAAACAAAACACCTTTGAGAAGGGAAAGGTGAAAAGAGAGAGAGAATATAATGAACAGGAGGAGGAATAGGATGGAGGAAAATGTAGTCAGCAGTAGTAAATGTGAAAAAAATTTTGAAGCAGGTTTCTCTGATAAAGGCCCCATTTCTCAAACATATAGAAAACGGAGTCAAATTTATAAAAATAAGAGCCATTCCACAATTGATAAATGATCAAAGATATGGTAATTTTTCAGATGATTTAATCAAAGCTATCTATAGCCATATGAAAAAATATTCCAACTCATTATTGATTGGAGAAAAACAAATTAAAACAGTTCTGAAGAATTACCTCATACCTATTAGATTGACTAATAGTCCAGAAAAGATAAATGACAAACTTTGATGTTGGAGGGGATGTAGGAAAAATGAGACATTAATGCACTCTTGGTAGAGTTGTGAACTGATTCAACCATTCTGTAGAGCAATTTGGAGCTATGCCCAAAGAGCAATTTGGAGCTATGTAAAACCGGGCATACCTCTTGATCTAACAATACAATACTAAGTCTGTATCACAAAAGAGGTAAAAAAACAAAAAGGAAAAGGACCTATATGTACAAAAATATTTATAGCAGCTCTTTTCTGGGGGTAAAGAATTAGGGATTAAGGGGATGCCCATCAATTGGGAAATGGCTGAACAAGTTTTTTGTGTGATTATGATGAAATACTATTGTACTATAAGAAATGACAAGCAAGATGTTCTCAGAAAAACCTCAAAAGACTTTCACAGGCTGATGCAAAGTGAAATATACTGTGTACAAAGTAACATCAATATTATAAGATGATCAGCTGTGAATAATTTAGCTATTCTCAGCAAAACGTCCATCCAAGACAAGTGTGAAGGACTTATGATATAAAAAAAAATGCTGTCCATCCCCAGAGAAAGAAATTATGGTGTCTGAATACAGATTGAAGTATACCTTTTTTTTTTTACTTTATTTTTCTTGAGTTTTTTTTGTCTATGTTTTCTTTCTCAGCATGACCATTATGGATATGTTTTGCATGACTACACATGTATAATCTTTATCAAATTGCTTGCCTTCCAAGTGAGGGGAGGTGAGGAGGGAGGAAGGGAGAGAATTCAGAACTCAGAGTTTTAAAAACAAATGTTAAAAGTTGTTTTTTACATGTAACTGGTAGAAAATAAAATACTAAATAGATTTTTAAAAATTAATAATTTTTTTAAATGGCTAGTTTCTAGACAGGAACTTCCCTATACCAGAGACAACTAGTGGTGCAGTGGATTCAGATAGAAGAACTTGAGTTAAAATTTGGCCTCAAACACTCGCTAGTGTGTCACACTTACTGTGTGACCTGAGCAAGTTACCTCACCTTTAAAGGTTTGTCTCAGGCTCCTCAATTATAAAATGGGGATAATAACAGCATCTATTGTTCAGGGTTATTTTGAGGATAAAAGGAAATAATATTTGTAAAAGTGCTTAGCACAATATAGAACAAATAGTAGGTGCTATGTAAGTGCTTATTCTGTTCCTTTCCCCACCAAATAAATCATAGATCTGGACCAAATAGAAATCTTAAATATTTACTCAAAAATTACAGTGAAATTATAAAGAAATAACTTCTTTTAAATCTACATTTTATAATCATTCAATTCAGTGAACTTTTAATAAACATCTATTATGTGCAGTGCACAGTTGTCAAATTTATATTGCAGGAATTATTAGAACTACATATTCAAACCATAATAAAGATGATATGAATAATGCTTAAATTGTTTGATATTTCCTTACTGTGATGCCTACGTGCAGATCACAACCCATTAGTGCCTACCTATCCTTTGCAGCCCTTCTCTGTCCTCTTGTAAATTCTACCCTGGAGAACCACCCAGTATGCTAGGGGCCTTCCTCTCTGTCTCTTAACATTGTGTAGATACCAATGAAATACACAGACTCTTTATCATTTATCCCTCCTCATTCCCTGACAAACTCATCTTTTTTTTCTGGTCATACATCTCTCTATTGATATCCTTTATGCCACTTCGGCAAAATTCTTCTTTGATCATATATCATAGCCTGCTTGAACCCAACATGTGCTACTCATTTGGTGGACCCTCAACTTGAATTATGGAGTGACTGCTATTTAGTGATTTGTAGACGTGCAAAATCAAATGGAAGAATATTATTGCTGAATAAAAGAAATGGGATTTTGTTTGAAGAAAAAGTTTGGAGTAATTAAAAGTACTTTACATTTTCCGCGAATCAATCCAGTTCACCCTTTTCTATTTATCATCTGCCATGTCTGTCTACAGTAAGTGTGCTGATGGTCCATCCAAATGCGTATCATGCTCTGGGTAATGGGCTTTTCTTCATTGCTTTTTCCTATGTGACCACCAAGTCCAAACTCTCATGAAATATAATGAATCTCATTTAGGAGACTATAATGTTCCAGGACTTGATGCAATTACCACAGTGTCATCCAGAAATATCTGGAAAATTTCACCATCTAGAGGGAGCTCTTCTCCTTGGGCTCTGCACAAAACATCCTCCATGATCTGACAAACAACTTTAATAAGCATATGTCTCCCTGTTTGATGCCTTGATTGATATTAATAATTAGAAGGATCCTTGAATAAAGTTCTCTGCTGTTACATCTTTCAAAGTATCTTTTGTGATTTTGATGTATCAACAGAAAATACTTTGTTAGAAGAGTAACATTAGGCTAGTATTTGCCATGTGAAATCAAATGTGTTTTTTTTTATAATCATCAAACAATAACCACAGTGGAATCTTGTACTCTCTAGATTCTTCATTCAGCTGTATGATGTAGATGGTAGGGGACTAGGACATTAGAACCCACATATGCTAATTCCATTGTCATCAAGGAGAAAAATGTTATAAAAAATCTTTTAAAATCTTTTCCATTTGTATCTTTGTTGTATTCCTTCTAATTTATTCCTTAAATGCCCCCAATATGATTGTTTTAAGTTTGGGTCTCTTACCCAGCTTTGGTACACTCATTTTTTCTTTCTATTTCTTGGTATTTTATGAAGTAATACTGTTCAAAATATTCATCCTACTCCCCTATAAGATTTTATTTAATTTTTCATTCTTAAAAAGTCTTATGAATACCTCTTGTTTTTGCTTCACAGTTATTTTTGGCTATGTCTTAACACATACTCTCAGTGAGGCCTCTCTTATAACAAATAAAAACAGTTAAACAAAGCCATCCTACAGAGTGGCCATTCCTGATATTATAGACTACACAGTATCCTCAGGCCTATATATCATAAATATTTTCTTTCAGAAAAAAGTTGAGAGATGCTAGATATAGTAAGTATTAAATAATATGAAAAAATTAAGTGGCTTGTGTTTTTAACGTAGAATTCAGGCTTCATCACTTACCTGGACTATTGTAATAGTACAATAAATGATCCCCCTGCTTCCAGACTCTTGCCTCTCCAATCCTTCTCAACACAGCTGCCAAATTATTCCTCCTAAAGCATAGGTGTGAGCCCATTAGTTCCTTGCTCAAAAATATTCAGTGGCTCTCCATGGTTTCTACGATCAAATATGTTTTCTTGAACATGGCATTTAAAACCCTCTATTACATGACTTCAATCAGCCTTTCTAGACGAATTTCTTATTACTGCCTGTCATAAACTCTACATTCCAGCCAGACTGACTTACTAGCTTGTATTGAATTTGGCATTCCGTGTCCTGTCTCTGTGTCTTTGTAAAGGCTGTCCTGAATACCTTGAATGCTCTCCCTCTTCACCACTTTTCAGAATCCTCAGTTCAAGTCCCACCGCGTACTCAAAATAATATAGTTTTTATTATTCCTATTGTTAGTGCCCTCTCTCTTCTCATTACTTTGTGTTTACTTATCTATACATGTTGTATCCCCATAGGAAAAGGTAGATTTTCAGAGGACAGAGACTTTTTCATGTTTGTCTTTGTATCTTTAGCACCAAGAACATTGTGTTGCATGTAATAGGCACTCAATTAATATTTGTTTAATTGAATTAAATCATTAGGTGCCTAAGGTGTAAGGCAATGGGAATGTCAAGAATAGAAGAGGATGGTAAGAAAAAAAAAAAAAAACTTGGTCTGTTTGGCATTTTAACCTAGGGCCATTCCCTTCCTCTCTTCACTTCCCGAGAGTACTCTAGGAATTGGCTCCTCCCTTCAGAAGATGGTACCCAAGAAAGTAGAAAGCCCCACGAACTCCATCTTTATCCCCTTTTTATCATGCCTCACAGAGTAAAATGTAGAGTAGTTATTGATTCCTGGGGACTGAATTGCCACATGACTTACAGCCCTATCCTACTTGAACCATTAAATACAAAATACAGGTAGATTTCATTAGTTTTCTTGAGGTTCCCTAGGAATGGACATGCCACTTGGCTGCCTGCTTGATGATCTCTCACAATGAAGATAATTTTTCTTATGTCAGTTGATTGTACAGTAAGCCCTTTTTCCTCTTCTGTAGTTCCAAAGAACACTGAGCACTTTATCATGTACTGTATGAGATGCCTGGGAGCTAGATACCTCTATGGAGTAGAAAGAGTGACAGACTAGACTCAGGAGTCTTGTTTTCATATATCAGTTTTGACATTTGCTAACAGTGTGATCACTTAACCTTTATGAACATCACTAACCTCCTAAATAAAATGGGAATAATAATACTTGTACTACCTACCTCAAACAGATATTACGGGGAAAGCGCTTTCTAAACTATAAAGTAATATATAAATATAAGTTATAGTGAATTCTCATGTTATGATCGTGTATCCAACTAGCAATTCAGTGCTCCAGAATAAAAATTAAGTAATGTTTGTAAATGGCCAAATGTATTACATTAAATAATATCCTAATTTCTTTTTTTATTTGTCTGTGTAGGTACAAATCGAATAAGCTATGCAGTCCAAGGGGCCCATGAGGGAGGCATTTTTGCACTTTGTATGCTAAGGGATGGCACACTGGTATCAGGAGGAGGAAAAGACAGAAAACTCATCTCTTGGAATGGAAACTATCAAAAACTTCATAAAACAGAGGTTAGACTATAGAGCTTTTAACTTGTGGTTCATTTTGAACACAAAAGTATCTTTTTAATGTAGACTTTCACTTTATGATCCTTGAATCCTTAATGCAATCGTTCTTTCAAAAAAAAAAACCACGTGCCCTTATAAGCATGGGGAAGTTAATTGGGGATAACATATATGATTTTTATAAAATCATAGGTTGGGGATTTAGTGTGACTAATATATCTTTAAAATTTGAAGTTGTTATAAATTCATCATTTCTAAAATTGTTATAATGGAATGAACTATCAATTTAAATGTGGCCATTATTCCTATTTTGTTATATCTGTGGAGAATATTTCTACTATTTTCACTTTGTAGACATTATTATCTCCTCTGGTGACCCAACCCGTTTCTTAACAATCACTTAATTCTATAGTGTATATTATCATCTTAAAGCTGCTTAATGCTGTTTTATGCTCCAACAGGAGTCTCAACAAGTAATTTTATCTTCCTTCTACATATTCACTAAGTGACCTCCCCCACACTCAGGGAAGATGTGAACCAGGTACACAGCAATATCAAAGGAAAAATAGATCCTGTTTACCCCTAAGAGTTTCTGAGGGGGAGGAAAGAATGGGGAATTAGAGAACTTTCTAGCTTTTTCTAGGTAACGTTTCACCACATGGATTCATTGTACATCAGAGTCGATTACAGCAAATTCCAAGCAAGTGTTCAAATTCTTTGTACTGAAATTTTGTTATGTTTCAGCTTTTTTGGGGGGAAATTTCCCAGGAAGAACTCTAAATTGGACTATTTCCTCATGAGATAGCGGGCAATAGTGGAAGCAAAAACAAATCTACAAAATCTTTATGACAATAATAAAATAATAATGATAACTAGCATTTATATAGTGCTTTAAGCATTGCCAAGTGCTCTCTCTCTGTAAAATCTCATTTGATTCTCATAAGAACCCTGTAAGATAGTTGCTGTTTTCACCAGGTGTGAGAATGCTAGTTGTTGTTGTTGTTATTATTATTAATTATAATCACCATCATCATCATCATCACCATCATCACCATCATCATTGTGGGGAAGTTGCCATTCCATCTTAGAGTCTGTGATAGAGGAGAGGAAAGGTGAGCATAGTCTGTCATGTGTCTCAGATTTGAGAATAGCGGAAATCAGAGGGTTCTGAAAAAGAACACGTGGGATCATATAGACTAAAATTCCATAGAGGTTAGTACAGAAGGCTTAGAAACCTATTAAAAGTCACTGAAGACTTGAAGAGAAACAATTTTGATGAAGAAAAAGAGGCCAAATTCTCTTTATGACACCAATGTGGTGCGGATGCCTAAACCAGGAGGAGTCAAAACAGAGAAAGAAAACTATAGACCAATGCAGGGCTGGTCAATATTAGGAAAAGTATCAGTGTAATTGAGCTTATCAACACCAAAAGTGACAGAAACCACATGATCATCTCAACAGATGCAGAAAAGGCTTCTGACAAAATCCAGCACCCGTTCCTATTAAAACCACTAGAAAGCATAGGTATAAATGGAGTCTTCCTTAAAATAATAAAGAGCATCTACCTACAACCTTCAGCAAGCATCATGTGTAATGGGGACAAGCTAGAAGCATTTCCGATAAGATCAGGGGTGAAACAAGGACGTCCATTATCATCACTGTTGTTCGATATAGTACTGCAAATGTTAGCTTTAGCAATAAGAGAAGAAAAAGAAATGGAAGGTATTAGAATAGGCAAAGAAGAAACAAAGCTATCACTCTTTGCAGATGACGTGATGATATACTTAGACAATCCTAGAGAATCAAGTAAAAAAACTACTTGAAATAATAAACAACTTTAGCAAAGTTGTAGGCTCTAAAATAAACCCACATAAATCATCAGCATTTCTGTATATTACCAACAAAGCCCAACAGCAAGAGGTAGAAAGAGAAATTCCATTTAACGTTCCTATAGACATTATAAAATATTTAGGAGTCTACCTACCGAAACAAACCCAGGAAATATATGAACACAATTATAAAACGCTTTTCACACAAATAAAGTCAGATCTAAATAATTGGAAAAACATCAATTGCTCATGGGTAGGCAAAGCTAATATAATAAAAATGACAATTCTACCTAAGCTAATTTACATATTCAGTGCCATACCAATCAAACTACCAAAAAATTATTTTATAGAGCTAGAAAAAATAACAAGATTCATTTGGAAGAACAAAAAGTCCAAAACATCAAGGGAACTAATGAAAAGAAGTGCTAGGGAAGGTGGCCTAGCCGTACCAGATCTTAAATTGTATTATAAAGCAGCAATCATCAAAACTACTTGGTATTGGCTAGGAAATAGACTGGTGGATCAGTGGAATAGGTTAAATATGTAAGACACAGTAGTCAGTGACTATAGTAATCTACTACTTAATAAACCCAAAGACCCCAGCTTCTGGGATGAGAATCCACTCTTTGAAAAAAACGGCTGGGAAAAGTGGAAAAGAGTATGGCAGAAACTAGGTGTAGACCAAAATCTGATACCATATACCAAAATAAAGTCAAAATGGGTTCATGATTTACATATAAAGGCTGATACTGTAAGCAAACTGGGAGATCAAGGAATAGTTTACCTGTCAGATTTATGGAGAACAGAAAAATTATGATCAAACGGGAGATAGAGAACTTACGAAATGCAAAATGGATAACTTTGGTTACATTAAATTGAAAAGGTTTTGCACAAACAAAGCCAATGCAAGCAAGATTAAAAGGAAAGTAGAAAATTGGGAAAGAATTTTTATAACCAGTGGCTCTGATAAGGGCCTCATTTCTAAAACATATAGAGAATTAAGTCAAATTTATAACAATACAAGTCATTCCCGAAAATAAATGGTCAAAGGATATGAACAGGCAGTTCTCAGATGAAGAAATTCAAGCCATCTATAGTCATATGAAAAAATGCTTTAAATCACTATTGATTAGAGAAATGCAAATCAAAACAACTCTGAGGTACTACGTCACTCTTTATGACCCCATTTGGGTTTTCTTGCAAAGTCACTGGAGTGGTTTGCCATTTCCTTCTCCAGCTCATTTTACAGATGAGGAAACTAAGGCAAACAGTTAAGTGACTTGCCCAGGGTCACACAGCTAGGAAGCATCAGAGGCCAGATTTTAAATGAAGAGATGAGTCTTTCTGACTCCTGGCCTATCACTTTATCCGCTGCGCCACCTAGCAAACTTCATTCCTTGACTGGGAAACAAACCTCGGCTACAGCAATGAGAGTGCTGAATCCTATGATAGTGTGGTTAGTTATATTTAGAATTGCTGAATAAATGGACCTTGGAAGTAGTAATTAATTCAGTTTGTCAGTGTCAGCTTGGAAGGAGGTCCTTACTAATGTCCCAGGGATATTTGCTATTGAATATTTCTATCATTGACTTAAAGTCATAATGTGTTTATCAGATTTGCAGAATGCATAAAACTTGGAGTGGTAAGCTAACATATCGGATGACAAATAGAATCTTGATGAGCTAGAAGATAAAAAGATAGGAAGATCCAATTTCTAAGAATAAGGTTCCTTTATTGGGTTCAGAAAAATCAGTCACATAGTCAGGATGGAAGCAGTTTGGTTAGATCGGGGCTTTTAAAACTTTTTCCACTTGCAACCCCTTTTCATGTTCTTGGAGTGGTAGTTGGCATTAGGTGGCTTGAGGGCCTGCTTTGGGTTCAGAACCAAGGCTGCTGAAAAGTTGTGAGATGCAACATGGGCAATCACTGCCAGAAACACCTTGGATTCATTACACGTTGTATTTTTAATTTTTTTTTTGTCATTGTGCATTCAGAAACCTTTCATTGTTGCCAAATTTTTTGTGACCTCTTATGGGGTCACGTCTAACAGTTTAAGAAGCACTGGAGATAGTCTTCCAGGAAAAAATTCTGAATGTTTTATTAGACTTCAAGCTCTATATCAATCATTAGGGTGGCATGTTAGCCCAGATAGCTATTATGATCATAGGATGCATTGTAAGAGTAGTACATGGTAGACATGTCAAATATTTGACTCATAATTCTCCAGAGTGTGGCCCAAACCAGATTAAAATGCACTTGGGAAATATTTAACAAAATAAATAAAAATACCATAAAACATAGATTACATTTTAAAACTTAAGTCAACATAGGGATGCTTATACACAAATTACTGGCCCTTATTTCTATTTGAGTTTTACACCCCTGGTATACAGGACTAGAAAAGTTATAATCCCATTGTATCCTGCCCTGGGCACACCACAGCCAGGAGTATTGTATTCATGTCTAGACACCACATTTTATGAAGGACATTAATGATATAGAGAAGTCTACCAGTTGACAATGTTTAGCAAAAATTGAGTAACAATAGACACACCTTTTTCTATTTTCTTGTTCAGTCGTTTCTGTCATGTCCAACTGTTTGTGACCCCATTTGGAGTTTTCTTGGCAAAGATACTGCAGTGGTTTGCCATTTCCTTCTCTAGCTCATTTTACAGGTGAGGAACTGAAGCAAATAGGGTTAAGTGACTTGCCCAGGGTCAGTAAGTGTCTGAGATTACATTTGAACTCATGAAGATGAGGCTTCCTGACTCCAGCCCTGGTGCCACCTAATCCATCTGGTGTAGGTATCCAGTGGTACCAATAGAAATAGCTTCCTATTCTGGGTCTAGGGAGGTGTGCAGTATCATTCACTCGAGCACAATTCTAAGTTTTTACGTGCTCCTACCTGCCTAAGAATCCAGTTGAATTTGGGTGTTTGAGATCTCGGACATACCCCAATCAGTGAAACAACCATTATTGTCTGACTACCAAAACATTTCATTGGCTGTGCAAAGCAATTCTTCTATAAATCATCTAAAACTTTAGAGTCCAGCAACTAATGCTCTAACTACTAGTTTTATAAAACCCCTGAATTCACAATTCAGATGTATGATCATTCCTTTTCTGTCAAATCTAGTGCTGTTAGAATTTCATTAAGCCTTTTTTCCTTCCACTTGT